AGTTTCTGTCGAATCGCGATTTCGATTTATCGTGCAGCCCTAGCCTGCAGTAAAGCGGCCTCATCTTACTGAACACCTGCCAAGTTTCACTGAGCTTTACCTTATCCAGCGAAATTCACGAAGAAATAACATGCACTGCTGAAGACACAAACTTTGCCCTCAAGTACACTCAAAATCCAAACATCCCATTTTTTATGATGAATAAATAAATGCATGTATGAGCATCAGCAATCATTATTTGCACTGTTGAGAGTTTAGACTCAAGTTTAGAGTTTAGAATCAAGGACTGTCTGGATTGTCATAATGGCCCATTGTATCAAATAATAAGCCATAAATGTACTGTATTCAAACAGACAATGTTGCCCGACTCAATTAATTGCAACCCACCGGCTCAGCAGACCAAGATAAAACTGATTAACCACTGAATCTTTGCTTAGAAATGTCAAACAGAGAACAGTTAGCAGAATGTGATCTAATATGCACTACATTACATTTTTGGAGAGACTGAGATTGAAGAGATACAGGGCTGGGAGATGCAGTGATAGGGAAGGAAAATATGGGTATATTCAGTGCAACAAAAAAAAACTTCAGAGATGAAATTCTGAGAAATGCTCATTTGTCACTGCTTTGGCAGCTCTAGGCTCTAGCACCCCCTCCAATAGAGCGTAACCGTGACCACCCACTTTTTCAGTGGTCTTGATTGCAGAAGCATTTTTCTCATTTTTTTGTACTCTCTCTGGAGGAATTTCAATAAAACCCTCATTAAAGAGTTCTAAGTTCTCAACCAAAACATCCTGCTCTGAGATAGATCTCTCAACAGTACAAACTTTGATTCAAAGCAAAGAAATATATGAAAACTGGAAACAAGATGAAGGTACAACTACAAGACTCATTTAAGCATGGAAGCATTGCAAATTATAGCAATAAATATTTTATGTTTGTTGCACAATATTCAGATATACACAAATACCTCAAATCACTGTAATGTTAACTTCCAATAAAGAAAGCAACCTCAAAGAGAAGCATTTCACCTTCTGGAAGTAAACATATGGCACTGTTTCATCCATATGAGCTGATGAAATATCGACCTGACAGCTGCCAAAATTATACAGCAGGTTCAAACAGACATCAGTCTGGTTTTCTGATGGCAGTTTGCCTTATTTCATGACACAATCTGTTTTATTCACACCCGCACGAGCCAACAAAGTGCAGCTATTAGTAGTGGCAAGTAAGATTCATTTCCGCGAATCAGTTCTTTCGACACAGTTGGTTTCAAAGAACCGTTTATAAAAGAGCCTAGCCATACAATGTTCATATAAAGCCATAAATGCATACATAGTGCTGTCAATTATGTTGTTTTTATTACGCTTTATTAATAATAATGTTTATTATAATTGTATGTGTACCATTTCAGTTTGATTCAGCAATGATTTTGCTCATAAAAACAACTAAATTTGAATTTACATTAAACAATACATGTACATTTCATCTACATAGCGACATATAAAAATGTAGATCTGCATAATATGTGTTAATAAAACTTTCATACAAACAATTAAATGCAAAATCGCTCAGACAGATTCTCGCGAAGCTCGAACCGGACTGAACTGTTATTGTTTTCCTAACTGATTCATTAAAAAAGATCCGGCTCAAATGAACGATTCGTTGAAGAAGCGAATTGAATAAATATTTTTTTTTAAAAACACTGACCTGCTTCAGCAACATAATTTAAAACTAAATTTCATATGAGCAGATAAATCTTGGACTCTATGCAGAATTAAAACGGCAGTTAATCAGTTCATCACATGCACAATGCATAACTATTCCTTAAAATTGTCATTTGTAGAAGCACTCCAGCAAACCCACGTTGCAAAACAGCATGTCGCCACAGTGAGCTGTAATATCAATATTCAAATACGTTATAGTGTCAAATATACAGACCGTACTCACCGCTCGAGACAGAAAACTAATTCCAGTGAATGTTATTTACTCGAGTTGTGCACTTCCATCTATGCAAACAAAATATCTCTTCTCCTTTCTTCGGCTCGAGTGATGATTGTGCTAAATTAAACTATTTTTACAAAACGTGCTGAATGACAGCACCACACACACTTTACCGAGTGAAATCATCCAGCACGACAGTACAGCAGCGGATCAAAAATCATATGCCTTACACTCTTAGGGATTTGTAGCGCTTCCTCACAGCCGCCACGGACCAATCAGAAGGCAGCGCTGTGGTAGTGGGCGGGGCCTGCCCGTTATGACATATTCAGCCTTGACTGATTTGAGGCTTGTCTAAAAACACATTGTAGTGTGCCACATCAGGGGCTGGCATTAATGGGTTATGTGCTCAGCTGTCAAAGTGAATCTTAAGCTGCTTAAACTATGTGTCTGTAAGATTTTTGCATATTTAAAATAGCTCAGTGTGCCTGTAGGCAACATGAAACCTGCACACTATGGAAAACAGTACAAGCTACCTGACCACTGACCAATGGACTACTGTCTTAAAAACAGAGCTGGATATCAGTGTTAAGCTGAGCTTCAAAGTACTGGATATTGGGTTCATTAAATTGACTGTGATTATAAATTATTATGCCTCTAATGAAGTCATTTTTACTGTTAAAATTGTAATAGGCATTGGTGCACAACTACTAATTTAGTAAAAAAAAAAAAAACATATCTTACAGCAATTTCAAGAACAGTTACAGGAAAATAAAACTTATTAGATGAATGAGATTTAGAAGAGAGAAAAAACAAAAATGAGCGTTATACAATAAACATAACTTTAACATAAAAGGCTCAAATAAAATGTTAGGGATGCACACATAATACAAATATGTAGTGCTGTACATCAAAAACTTACAGACACAGATACATAAGGATGGCATCTAATTACTGGGGTTTTAAGTATTTCATGATATTTTTTTAAAAATAATTTTGTTCTTTACAAAGCAAAGGGATTTTAGAAATAAGGTCTAATTCAATTTTAAAACGTGGAAAGGATGGGGTATCATGTGAAAACCTGACAAATTATGAAATATTATGAAATTATTTTTTATTTTATTTCGGCTTTCAGAAATAAATGACATTTTAAAATATATTCAAATGGAAAACAGTTTTTTAAAAGTGTAATAATATTTCACAATATTACTGTTTTTACCGTATTTTTTATCAAATAAATGCAGCCTTGGTGAGCATAAGAGACTTCTTTTAAAAACATTAAAATCAGTAGCATTAAATCTTAATTATTCCAAACTTTTATTTCTTACAAATGCAGTTCTGCCAGAAGTTTAGGTAGGCATTGTCAATCTTACATCAATCATTCATGTCAAGATCAGTAAGTTTAATTTCAATGATTGACTTTGCTTAGACAGATGAGCAAGTTTTATTTGAATTGGAACGAATGGAACCAAAACAACACTGAGTGTCACTGTATTAGTATGTTATTTTTAAGACAATGTGGGCAGATAAGAGATCAATTAGGAGGATTAATTATGCATGAAATCTCTCTCTCTTATCTTTTTATCCACAAAACACACAAATCTATTCCCCAAGCTGAAGTCTTTGCTGTAGGTGGAAGAAATGTGCCTTGCAGACACTGCACTTTATAGCAGAATCGGCATGACCACATTAAAGTTTGAGCACCTGATTTAGGTACTTTTACTGTGAAAGCCACTTTACATCATGTCTCGTTCTTAAAGTCCCAGTCTTCCCACTGATCTCATTGTGGTTAAACCTGACCTTGGTGGTACATCGCTCTCACATGGTGGGGTGCAGTGCGATGTGTTGTATAATGGTCGGAGAGGCTGGGTGCATCCAGACAGGCTTGGACAGTGTAGCACAGACACCTCCACGTGCATCCTCTCTCTCAGCTGCTGCTTGCCTCATCCTGTAATTATGGCTGTCATCAGCAGCCCTCGACAAGAAGCTATATTTACTGAAGCCCTGTACAAACAGTTCTCAGGCTTACAGGAGCCTGGTACAAAAGCAGAAGCTCTCTTCATTCACTTGCAACTGGTCTTAAACAGGTTAGCTGGTGAAATACGAATGAAAACAGAAGGTTAATTGAGCCGAATCAATATTCAATGAAGGAATGTGACGACACTCAAAAAAACAAAGATCTTATTCAGATAATCACTGACATGTATAGCGGCTGGAGTGGACATGCACTTAAACATAACAATCCACTCATTCTGTCATGTTCTGTATTGTAAATAGACAGACTGAGCAGGGGCCCGTTTCAGAAAGGAGGTTAAGTGAAAACTCTGAGTATGTTAACCCTGAAATGAGGGAAACTCTGGGTTTACCGTTTCAGAATGGGAGGTTTGTCAAACCCGAGAAAGCAGGGTAAGTCAAGCCCGTTTCTGAAAGAGAGGTAACTTATATTTCAAGTACAAATATCTAAAAATTCTTAAATCAATATGGATTTTCTATATAAGAAAATTATATAAGATATTTAGTCTTGTTTCCTGGGGAGGATCTAAATTAAGTGCATTTTACTTAAGTAAAATTATCTGCCAGTGTGGTAATAAAAATAATCTTAATGCAAATGGAAAACAAGATTATTCGGAGTGTCTATTACTAAGTGGAAATTTACAGTAGCTCCGCCCTCCAATGTCACACAAAGTTAAATACGACGCGCATGACTACCGGCTTCGGTGGTGTAGGCAGTAACGCGTTGTGACGCGATTGGCTGGGTTCGAGTCCGGTGTTTGCCGAGCTCGGCAATACTGAGGTGTAAAAAGTATGTATCCGCCAGTATAAAGTATAAATAGCATCTAATTATTATTTACACTTATTGCAAAGAACTGCTACTTTTACATGGTAAATAGAATATATCACAAATTTACAAATTGTTCTTTACATCTAGAGCTATTTGCGCTTAGCCGACTGTAAATAGGATCCATCGCTAAGAAAGTATGCTAATTCCACTTAGTGTAAATAGCCGCTGCCGTATTTTTCTTACCCTATTGGCAGATCATTTGCAAAATAAGAAAAATTCACTTAAATTATTATTATTTTATTTTTATTTTTTGCGCATGGGATACCATGAAAATGAATAGCCTATTAGTTCAATAACCTACCGCTCTGCCAGTTTTCACCTGTGATATTATAACAGTGATAAGAATTAAACTTGTATTGACTCTGAAGTATGCAGACGTCTTTTTGTCGGGTGCTGTTGCCATGGTGAATCGTAATAGCTCCATTGATCATGGCTTTTCATAGTCGTGGTACACGCGCTAAACTCCGAGTCAACCTACTCAGAGTCGATTGAACTAACTCAATTCAGCTGTTCTGAACCTGAAAACTCAGAGTTTCCCATCTCAGAGTAAGTCAACTCAGAGTTCAAGTTTTAACTCAGAGTTGGTTGAACCTCCTTATTGAAACGGGCCCCAGGAATCATTCACACACGTTTGTACAGCTCTGTGCAGAAAACATGTCTCATCTCAGGTATTTGCCATCACTTCCATTGGGAGAGACAAACAGAAATAGGTAACATGCCACGGTCAAGAGGTTACGAAAAGCAGCCAGACAAGTGCAGCTGAAGATCAGTATGTCTGTGTGAAGCTGTCGATGGAATGATCCCTTTAACAATACAGAAATATTCTATTACTAGCTATGCAGCAACCTCTTAGATCTCCCTAGCAACCACATATCAATGCACTAAATGTACTTTTTTTGCATGTTTTTTCATGTTGGTTACACAACTTAATTTAATTTAATTTAATTTAATTTATTTTTTATTTTATTTTTTATTGATGTATTTATATGTAGTAAGACAGAAAAATAATATTACAAATATTTACAACAAGCTAAAATGATTAACAATCAAGATATCTCTTAATTGAATTCTCCACCTCAAGAAGTTTTTTTTTTTTTTTTGAAGGGCCAGTCTTGAAAAACCTGGAAAAATAAGGTAGCCTAATTTTTAAAAGTGTGATTTCTAGACCTAGAAGAGCCATGTAAATTAATAAAATCAAAAAACTTTGAGTATTTTTATAATGAATATAATTTTTTTTGAAATAGTGAGCTAAAAATATTTTTTAAATCAAGTCAAAACAAACTCATTCAGTAAACCACAAACAAACAACTTGAAAAGTCATGTAAATACATTGGTTAAAAAGAATGGGAACCTCTTCTGGAATCCTGAAATTTAATTTAAAGAAACTATAAGTATCGGGCCTACCGTTGGGGTCAAAAACATAGAGAACTAGCAGAAAGCACCCTATTGTGAGTTTTGCATGTGTATAGGAACCACTCACATATTCTTGTGAGACGTATAAATCTAGCTGTAAGTAAATTGTCAGACCGTAAATTTCCCCTTAAACCCTTTGAAACTGCAGCACTGCAAAACTGTATATTTCATGATGTTTGAAGGCCTTCAGTAAGCCTGAGTTTTTAGATTATTGGCTGCTGTGCCCTGTGGCTAATCTCCTGCCTTTGGTCCTAATGACAGGCTCTGATGCAGGTAGCAGCCCACAGTGCCAAACCCACACAGCTGTCTGTGGACAGTCGGCCTCCAGGTGTTCGGTACGCGCTGTCTGCATAATAGGTTTACGGTAAGATTGAGATCAGTTCTGACATGGTAAATGACATAATAGAAAAAAAAAATCAACTGGGGTACAGTGGTCCCAGATCAGCGGATCACATTTTTCAACTAAATGATGGTTCAGAGCAAACCAGGAAGTGTTTGTGCTCATCTGTCAACCTCTCCACATTGTGTGTTTTCACCCTCCGTGCAGCACAAGAATACAGTCGTAGACTCATGTTTGGTCTAAAGTAGGTCAATGGAGGCCTCCGTCACGCGGTGGTGAGGAGAAAACAAACCGTAATGCACAACCCCCCACACAACAGTCATTGTACACATGACACCTGAATCTCTCATTGAGTTGTCTTTAAAAAAACACTACCATGGCTGCTCAAAGAAAGAAAACAGCAATCAGCAATTCCATGTTCTTTTGCTCTCACCCTGAGCCTTAACAGTTTGTTCTGTGCACTCCAGGGCATGTGTCCTGAGTTGCTATGACCAGGTCATGGCTGCTTCCTTCTGACACATTCGCCCTGAGCATCACACGCTACATGGATGGATAAACCTTATGCACGCAAGCTGCAGCGAGAGGGGCTAAAACCTCCAATCTGCAGAAGCC